ATTTTTTGATTTTTTCTTTTTATTTTTGATTTGTTTATTTTTTCTCATAATATTAAAAATATAAAAAATATTTTTTAAACCATTTTTGTATTTATTAAGCATTTATTGGCTTAAATAGATATTTGTACATAAATAAATACCTAGATATACTTTTATTTAAAAAATACTAAAAAAATAATGCAAACACATTTATTTTCTAATTTTTATTTTATTTTATCTTCTGAAAACATTTTACATAAAATATACTTTTTTTTAATAAATATTAAATAGTTTATTTTTGTACATATAATATATATTTAGTAAATAATACAAATACATACATATATATTAGTATATTTAGGTTAAAAAAATACAAAATATATACATTTTTATTTTTATTAATATTTAACATTAAAAATACCTTTTTGACAAATATACTTCTCTTTTATTTATTTTTTGTACATAACTAATAAATATTGTATATATTAAACAATTAATACCTTTTAATTAATAAATTAGGGTTTTGCCCTAAATACATAAAAACTCCAAAAATTAATACTTTTTATTTTGTTTATTTGACATATAAAAAACACTTTTTTCATACATATAAAAAAACATTTTTTTTGCATCTTGCATATTTATTCCATTTTTATTTAATTATTGTATTTTGTATAATTCAATTTTGATGTAATAGTTAGGTTTTAATTCTTGTCAAAATACCCCCATTTGAACATTTGTACCCCCCTTCCCATATATTGTGTTGTAATAACTTAGGAACTTTATTTTTCACACTTTAATGCTTTCTAATTATGCCATGTTAGAATTAGGGTTTGTACGCAAATCAATTAACCAAAATAGTTTTACCTAATTTCAAGATAAACAAGCATGAAAATGGACAACACTAATCACACTTGCACCCCTAGGGTATTCCACTTGTTGCCTTCAATAATGGGCCATATTGCATGTTAGGTATCTTTGGCAAAAAAACAAAACAATCAAATGATCATAGTCCCTCGATGACGCTTTCGAAAGTTGCCTAAAAAATGATCAAGTCCCTCCAAGGAAAAATTGCCCAAAGATGCTTGGCACCATTGCAATTATGGTCTAAAACGATGACCCGCGCCCGTCCCTTTCACATCCTAACACAAGATTGTCCACCAAATGCAATGGTGGAACAAAATTGTTAAAAGGGTTAAAAACATAGGAGAAATCTTTGAGAAATTTATGAGTAGACAACCTCTTAGTTACTTGAATCAAACTTGCAAAACAAAACACTTGCCTATTTTCAAACCACACATCACTACACTTTCAAAACAACTTTCAAAAAAAACATTAAAAACCTTTTCAAAAGACATACACCTTTGTATACATCCCGACATGGATCATTACAAAGGTCGCCACCACATTGGCTTCTTTTCAAAACATTTTTCAAACCCACACACAAAGCACCATTTCAAACAATTGAAAATTAAGGCAAGTTGATCTAAGCAAGTAACTAAGAGCCCATGGATAACCATGGATAGAAAGGGTGCTAATACCTTCCCTTTCTATAATCTACTCCCCGAACCCAAGAAAACATCTCAAAGGTTTTTGCTGTGCTTTTTAACCTTTCCTTAGGATAAAATAAAAAGTCGGTGGCGACTCTTGCTCAACCGAAACATTTGCGAAAACAAACGCAAAACCCTAGTCAGTTCTCCCACCGTATCACAGCACCCATCAATAATACTTGATTGTTCTCCCTCAGAGATGCTTCAACTCGTGTAACAGACCAGAACCTTGAATTCACAACATCTTCAGACGAAAGAATCTGTATCGACTAAACACCATAATTTGAAAGCACTTAGTTTAACACCAAACTGTTCACCCCAAAGATAACATCAAGTTAATCCAACATCCTGTTTTAACGACAAGTCGCAATCACCCCCGAGAAAGCATCAGGACCCACACACAACTGGCACATCATTAGTCATAACATCGCTCTCTACTCCTAGAGATGTGAACAACACAAGTACCTGATCATATCCTTTCAAGGACACTTCGACCTGACCATTATACACGATTCTTGAATCCACATTCTCTTCGGAATCGGGAAAAACACAGTCTCGCCAATATTTTTACTCTTGCAATCCATGGCACACTGAACCAACTATTCTCACCTTGCAACCAAAACATCTCTGAGAAGAAATAGCTCCTCCCCACTTGTTTCAAACCACTTCTGTAACCATGTAGTTAGAAAAACAAGCAAGTATCGACAGTGTTTCACACACATGTTGCATACCAAGGAATAAACAACATTAGACAACTTGGTCGGATGAACCGACCTGCTCTTATACCACTATGTAATACCCTAATTTAACCACACGTAATTATAATTAAATCAGAGCAATTTAAAATATTAATCATAATCAGGATGCTACATTCTTCAAAAATATGCACGACTGCCCGTAATATTTAAACGATACATAACACCAAACAATGATGAACTAAAACAACAACTCATAGTCTTCAACATTAAATTTTACTAAGCAGCAGAAAAATAATCATTTTTGAAGTCAAAGGATCTTATCCAAAATAAATCAACAATTATTCAAATACTAGGAGTTTGTGAATCTCCAAACAATTAAATTAAAAACCAACAAAATAACTAAATGTCCACCCCCCGGTGTTATGTATCATAGCGAAGATGCCAACTCAAATTAAAATGATGAGCAACCCACTCCAACCGATGCAGTCTCAGACTACTCCTGACTATCTGCACATGTCATATAAAGCATCATTCCAACAGAATGGTGGGATATCACAATAATATAAGGAATGCATAATAATAAGTAAATAGAGAATATATTCATGCATAGTAATACAATCCAAATCTCACACTTTCACGCCATCAATGACAATCACGTCACATATTAATTATGAAATCACAATAACACATCGTCATATACAAATCGAATTACTGCATAATTCATACACCAACCACACAACTCAACATCATGATAATGACAATATAATGCAATAATACCGACTTATAGACTCAACAAGGCATAAGCCCTCATCATAATGCCAAATAAGGTAGCAACAGGGCATAAGCCCTCATCATAACACCAATACATGCCATCATCAGGGCATAAGTCCTCATCATAACACCAATACAGGGCATAAGCCCTCACCATGAATGCAAGCAACACCGACATGAAACAATGTATTATGCATTGATATTCCTATCCACGAATACAACAAACCAATATGGGACATCATCATTATCATCATCATCATCATACATACATACAACGCACTATGTAATTATTCATACAACTTCGTGTATCATCGTCAGACGTAAATACAACATCCACCATCACTTATCATACATAATTCATATAAAAGGGAATATTATCAACTCATCATATTATATTCAATGACAATAACACCACATCATAACATTACAACAACACAACATCCTGGTATTACAGTTTACAAAGCATGTCATCACATCACATAATCCAGTATAACAATTCTTTGAAACCAACATACAAGCATTCCCATATTAACAAAAACTCAATTATTGCCCCTCATCATCATGTAAACATTATACAAACTCGACATTTAAATGTGCATAACACACAACATGGAAAGGTATTATTGATACTCATCATAAGCAACACAACACCAAAAATACATGCCATTTTATAAAACCACGTAGTAATTAAATCACTTATTTCCAAAAAACCTATTTTTATTGGAAATATTATTGTGCTAGCTTTTTAACGCTTTGAACGGTACCAAAAACAGATTCACGGTTTGAAAGTTTATGAATTCTCAAAGTTCTACAAAAAAATACAAACATCGGTATCATACACTGACACCACAAAACCTCATTACAAACCAATTAAATTTATTTTCAGAACATGAAACCATTTGTACAATAAATTACATTGTATTAGCTTTCTGTATGTTCAAACAGTGTGTCAAATTAACACCCGAGTCAAAAGTTATGAATTTTTGAAGTTTTAAAAAAATGCTGCCAGACTTAAGAAAATCGATTGCCCCATTTCAAGAGATCGATTCCCTCAACTCCAAAGGAATTTTTTTTAAATTTTTGAACTGGAAATTGATTTCCTAAACAGGGGTAATCGATTTCCATTACCCAGAATTAGTGTTTCAGTTTATTTAAGTACAAAAGTCACTTTTGTTCACCTATCCAAACAACCCTAAACTTCCCTGATGCTTATTTCGGTTTCTCAACATTATTATTCATTCACATATACTATCACAACATTTCTATTTCACCAAACATGCAATTACTCACATAAATCAACTTAATTTCATACATTATTACAACATCGACATTGACACCCAAATATACCAGTTTGCAACCAAAATCAAGTCTTTTAATTTCATAGATTATTCAAACACCTTAGACAATATTCCAAATCATTTCATGTCATAAATTTCGTCAAAATCAATCACAAACATGTCAATAATTCATCCAATAAGGTCAATCACACAAGAGCAAAATTATGAAAAACAGAACACATAACTATGACAATCTTAATCCCCATCATACCCTTCATTATGCAATCCCTTAAAAAGTTGGAACCCCACCCTTACCTTAGATTAAAGGTTTCTAAGCTCCTACTATGTATTCCCTTTTTCCCTAGCCTCTTGATGCACTGTTCTCCTCTTCTCTCATTCTACAACCGTTCTTTGAGAAAAACAATTCTCTTTCCATTTCCTTGTTTTGACAACTTTAACCCCTAGACCCCTAAAAGTATATTTCCACTTATGCCCTTCCTTCCTTATAATAATTAAAATAATTATTTAATTATCATCTCTATAATTATTATTACATCTAAATACTCCAACCAAATTATTTAAATACAAATAATTATGTCTAATTACCATATTACTTCACCACTACTCTACAACATATTGTCACGATTCACATATTTCCAGAAAATACATATATTCACCAATAATTCATAATTAATCAATTAAATAATTAATTATGGTTTTCGGGGGTGTTACATCAAGTCTTCATTGTAGTCTTGAGCCTGCCGTAAAAAGTAGTTGATGCCTTGATGATTCATTTGACTCAAATTTTTTGGAATATGAAGGTCTTCAACAATTCTAACTTTGTAGTAGTGTTGTTTGGCCATAATTCTACCTTGGCACTTGTCATTAAAGAATTCAAGAATCTCATCATCCACCAATGAAAAAGTAGTTTCTCGAGCACTTGAAGATGCATCAAACTTCTTCTTACCCTTGCCAACATTCTTGTCGTTTGCAACCTTAGGAGCCCATAGAAATTATTCAAATAGAACTTGCACAAAGGTGTTTGACAAAAATCCCAAGCGACAACAGTATGATTTTGAGCAACTTTTGGAATCCCCAATATGCCTAACAATGAAATGAGGATGTATAATGCACACAATTCAAACTTTTACACAAATAATATCTAATTTCGAATGAAATATGCTATAAAGATGCAAACCTTAACAAGATATATATGTATTTGTGGAGAGGTGGATTTGGAGATAATAGAATGTGAATATTGGATGGAGGAATGAATTAATGATTTGAGGAGGCATGGTTTTAAGACGATTGGTGGGAATTAAAGACTGAAGTTGGACCGAATTTTTGATTGAGAGAGATATATTTTAGGTTGTATTTATTGAACCTAGAGATTTTTGGATAAGAAGAAGGAAAGAATGAGGCTCGAGAGGCTTATTTTCCCATACGTGTCAGCCCAAACAGGTTATGTGTTGGCACATTCGACTTATGTGATGGCTTGTACTGAAGATGGCCCAAACAGGTCTTGTGTCGATGCATAATGATTCAAAATAAAATATGTTTAAAAACTTATTTGATGTGTCGACACATATGATATTCGTGCCAGCACATACTCAGTTGAATTCAAAAAATCTTAAATTTTAATAGAATAGGCCGATATGACACATATATTTTGAACAAGTAATACACATATATGCACATATAATATAAATAAAATAACACATGCAAAAGATGAAACTTGATTAAGGTCACTATAAGCATATAAATTGAAGTGCTCCTACACATCAACTGATATTTTTGGAAATAAACACTCAAGAACAAGCATCACACAACATGCATTGAAATATCATTGAATCATAAACAGGTAAAAGGAAATACTTACTCATACAGTGAAAAACAGATAATGATATAATCTCACCGTATGAAAGACGAAGCATGCACGAGCGTTTTATAAGAAACTCTAGAACAAGATTTAAACAAATTCAAACAGGGCCAAGAAGTCAAAAACAACATCATTCTTACTCCTTTTCACTTCCTCAACTTTCCACAAGGCTTTTACCAATTTGAGACTTCTTGTTGTTATATATGTTACACCCTAAATTTCTCCCCTAATATTTTTTAGTCGCACTATCATATCATATTTTGTTATTTGGTCATAATCATTAATAGATATCTTCATTCATCACATTTTGCATCATTAGTTGTATTTAAGTTGACCAAAATTCATTTTAAATCAAAGTTTTATCATTTTCTAGTTAAAAAATACCTTATATTTCATTTCATGCATTTTTATCTCTTTACTCGTTTCTTGCATTACTCCAAGTTGTTTATATATCAATAATATTAATATTTCGGTTTTACAGACAGATTGCTAAAAGTGATTCGGTACTATGCAGAAAATTAGCGAGAAAAATATTTCAAGTTTTCACCTTTTACTAATCATTTTATGAATTAGCATTTCGCATAGATTATGACGATATGCTCGCTTCATTTTTTAAGTACAACTTGAAGTCTCGTTTTTAACCATAAACTTTTGTTCAGCTTGATATTTTTATTCTCATTTTATTTCGATTTTGATCATTTAAATATTTTTTCATTAATCTTTGAGACAAATAGTTTATTTTAATGTGTTCATTTCATTTTTTCGGATAAATTCTTATCCATTTTTTATCGTTTTTAGTCATTTTCGGTCTCTACTTTTTTATTCAAAAAAAATCAAAATAATTATTTTAAATTGCATTAATTTCTTTCTCTTTCAAAATTTTACGCCATTTTTATTTTTAGAGAGCTTTTTGATCATTAAATATTTTTATTAAACTAAACTTTATTCTGATTGGTCATTAGAGAAAGTTACGGATGAATACAAATTAGAGAAAAAAGTGAACGAAAATTGCAAATCGCATAATCAATTACCTCTTCAGCTTTCTATATAAACCTCATCTTTTTCTTTGATTAAACACAAAAACAATCAACCACAAACACAATTTCACCACAACCTCATAATAGCTCACATAATTAGCAACTCACTTTTTCTTTGTTCAAGATGCAACTCAATAACCCCTCCATCTCTCTCTCGCCCTTCGCCAGTTACCGATTTTCGTCGCAACTCCCTCCGTCTGGGATATAAACTCCCCTTTCATCTCAACCTCAGCAGCCTCACAAACAATACAATCAACAACCATCTGCCACGAACCTCTTTCGGCCTTTAAATCCGCGAGTTCCAGCCAACATCATCGTCCGTTTCAGCAAACCGAGTTTCTGTTCTCCGCGATTTCTCTAAACCATTCGGCTGTCCAGCAACTTCTCATTCCAGCTCTGCGGGTGTGAACTGCAAGCTTCCTTAATCTTCATCATCAACCGTCGCTCCGTAATTTCGACATCATTTTTTTAGTGTTAAAATGCCATTGTGTTGTTGTCATGCTGATAATTGTTGTTATGTGGTGAAAAAGCAAATATTGTGATGAATTTCTGAATAAATTTTTTTGTTATAGTGTTTTTGTTTTAATTCTAATGTCAGTATCATTTTTGTTTGTGCTGAGGACTGAGCAGTGATTTGCTATAATGTTGGTTTTGAATCTGAATTTTGAATTTGCTTTGGTTGTCTTGTTTACTAGAATCAAATCTGAGTTGAGAAACTATGGTATACGTCGTTGCCATAATGTTTGTGTTTGAATTTGAAGATTGAAGTTTGGTTTTGTGGTCTAACTTGAATCGAGTCTTAATTTTTTGAGGTTATACTTTGATAATGTTTATTCTCGTAATAATCCCATTTGAAGTTGTGACTTACATTTAAGTTGATGGAAGTTTTAATATCGATGGCATGTTTGTTGTCTTAATTTGTGATAATCATTGATGTTGGTGTGTGATCCGTTTGTTAATGTTAAAATCATTTGTGTTAATCTTTGATGTCCACTTTGTTTACTTGGACCGATTTCAAATGTTTGTAATGGTGGTACAAATTTCTTGGTATTATTCTTGAGATGAATATTAGTTTGTGGCATGTTTGTGTGTTTCTCTTTTAAAGAAGATTTGAATAGTATTTTGGTGACAATTCGAGTTTGAATTCAAGAGTTAATGTAGGTGGCATTACTGTGTTATTTCCTTTTGCGCTAACCATGTTTGAGATTGAATTTTTAAAGCTTTGTTTAATGTGCATAGTTGCTGCCTGAGTTTTATTTGAAGGTTTAAAGCTCATTTTGAACTCGATTTTCATATTGCAATGTGAATCTCAACTTCTTGTTTCATTTGTGAATTGATGACCATGTTCAACATTGTGTTTACTTGAGTTTAAATGCATTTAGAATATTGAATGTCATGCTGATTTTTGTTGGGTACATTGAGTAATCATTTGCTTGGTTCTTGAATTGTTCATGTGCATCATATAAAATTCTTTTCGATTTTATAATTTGTAATTACTAACACATGTTTTAACTATTGCAATTTCATTTGGTTTTATTTTTATCCCTCTTATGCTATTAACGAGTTTGTTATTGTGAAGGTTTTCAAGAATTGTTTCAAGCATTTATTCTCGCATAGCGTATCTATAATTTTTCTTCATTCCCTTTTTATTGTATTTTATTTTTTTACTTTTTCGATTTAATATTTAGTGATGTAAAAATATAATTGTACATAATACTTTTGATTTTATATTTTATTCACTTCACTTGTAAATAAATTCAGGTTATGTAAATATTCTTTTCATTGCATTGCAATTTTAAACTTTAATTCAAGTTAACTTTTAAAAATCGTACGGACTCATATAAGTTTCCCCATGTTGTTAGATTTGTCTGTATATCTCTTGTGATGTAGGGATTCTTATCTGATACCATGAGCTTTATCCATCACCTTTGCGCTTTATCTGATTCCTCTCATAATCCACGCTTTCTTCGTCCGTGATTTATTTTCACATGCTTTATCCGATGCCTGGAAATATTATCTTACATTTGGGTTTATTTAATGCCGTCGGCTTGTGATTTATTTTCACTTGAGGTTTGATATACTCTTAGCTTCTTTATTTGTCTGTGGCTTTAAACCCAATAGGATGGGAACACGGTATTGACTTTATCATGTCAAGTACTAGTTTCTTATTCGGTCGGATTCTCTTTACCTTATCTTTTACCCTACTGTACATAGGACACTCTCTTCATTTTATCTCATTCTTTAATTTTCAAAACCTTCTCATCTTTTTCAAAATCTTCTTTGTTTATAAACTCAAACCACTTTCATAATAAACCTCGACTTTGTCAAGTGTCTTTTCTTTTAAAACTTCTTTTTTTAAACAAAATTCAATTCATTTAATCATACTTCGACATCTTTCAAAATTAACAAATACATTTCAACTCATTCAAACCCTTTTGTGCGCTCGAGCACCTTTTACCCTTCAAAACTTTTTCAAGATTAGACATGATTCATTGATAGTCAGGCAACATTCTCCTATCCCCATGGTTATAAAGGTGTCGACTTTTCCACTTGAGTGCTAGAGGCGTTGTCAAACCCTCACTCTTGCTGATGCAGGGTCTATTTTTCCCAACCTTGTGGGTGTTAGTCAAGATTTCTCTCTTAAAAACGACGACTTGTCTCTTCGTTTAAAATCAAACAACAGACAAGTATTTTCTGGCCGAACTACGGTGCTCTGACTTTCCCATTGCACGAGGGAGTATGTAGGCACTAAGTCTTACAACCCAAGGCAAGCAAAAATAATTAAAAAAAAAACATTTCATTTTCTTTTGTGAGCAAATACTCATTCATTCTTTTCCTTTAGCAAGTAAACCTTTAGATAACACACTCTTTGAAGAAAACAAACAAAGTGGATCATGTGGAGTATCATAGATGCTTAGGGTGCTAATATCTTTCCTTTTCATAACCGACCCCCGTACCTCGATCTCTGATCTTCTATTTCATTATGGGTTTTGTTCGCTTTTTCCCTTTGGAAACAATAAAGTGCGGTGGCAACTTCATTGAGTGAGATAAGTCAATTGACGGCTTAATCTCAAATCTTTATCGCTACATTTTTTATGCCCGCATGTGTTTTCACACAGTGTGACAACATCCTAGGTCACATATTATTCCTTTTTGTCACAAAGCTAATGATATTTGAATATGTTACCTATCAAATGTCTTGAGCTCACTATAAATGAAGCCACGTAGTTTCTTTGTAGAGTCAAGACATTTTTCCTGCAATATCAACAATACAAACTAGGTACCCAATCTTCATTGAGTCCTTGAGGGTAAGTGAAACATTTGTTGCACTTGGGAAACCATTGATAAATGCCATTAGGAACTGAAAACTTTCTACGTTTGCATTTAGCAATAGTATGACCTCTCATACAACAATAGTGACAAGTAAAATTTAGAAGTTTGTCACATTTACTATTTGAATTCTTTTCAACAAAGCTATAATTTTTGAGGTTTTAAATATTTTTTGAACTTTGTTGGATCAATAGAAACAATGACCTTTGGTTGTAGTGACTTGTCTAATTTGGCCTTAAGAGTGTTAACTTCTTTTTGCCAAATATAGCAAGTCTCACAACTAAACTAATGCGAGTTATCATTCTTCTCATCTTTGACTTTTTGACTTTCTATAATAGATTGCATTAAAGCTTTCATTTTCTTTTCGGTTTCTAAATTTTTTGCCTCTAAGTATGAAAAAATTATTTTATTTGAGGCCAACATTTTGAAGGTTTCAACAACTTCTCTATGTAAATTTTCAAAAGCTCTAGTAAATTGTAATGTGACAATCTATCAATATGTTCATATTTGGAAGAATTTACCTTATTTTTATTTCTTCCTTGACAATGACTAGAAAGGCAAATCTCATCATGTTTTGATGATTTGATGTCCTTCTTCTTTTCTTCATGGTAGTGACCGGAGAGGCAAACTTCAATGTATTTTGATAACTTGGCCTCTTCCTTCTTCTTTTCATGATAATTTCTCGATAAGCAAACTTCATCGTACTTTGATGGTTTAAAAACCATTTTCTTTTTATTATTGAAATGAGTTGAACGACAAAATGCTTCCGATTTTTTATTTATCAATAGAGTCTTCATCACTTGAGGTTCAATATCATTTTCCCAAGCCACATAAGCCTTATTAGTTTTGCTAAGATTTTTGTGTTGACTCTCCTCTTTATCATTATCACGATATGGACACTCCACTCAGTAAGGGCCAGATTTTCCATAATTGAAACATAAACGTCTTGAATTTCTTCCTTTGGATTTTTGTTCCTTAGAAGATATAGATTGTCTTTTGGAATTGATGGAATTTTTGTCGAAGTTCTTTTCATTAGTCTTTCTCAAGTACTTATGGTAATTTTTGACAAACAATCTCATTTCTTCATCATTCGAGTTATCATTGTCACTAATATCACCATCATTAATGTGTTCACAATTTGAGGACATTGAACAAGAAGCCCTGAGAGCTTTATACTACCTTCCTTCCTACTTATTTGTGTTTTTCTCCTTTTTCATCTTTTTCTCATGTTTCTTTTCATGCTTCTCTTGAAGAATAGAAAAACACAATAAAGGAGGATTTGAATTGGGATTTTTAAAACTTAAAGTAAGAACACGTTGGTTATCCTGGTTCGTTTGAACTCAAACTACTCCAGTCCACCCGCCAAGGTGATTTCGCTTCTTGAGTATAAACCACAACCCGGTTTTTCTCAAGGAATTTCTCTAAACATTGTATGAATAAAATTGTACAAGAATGTTTTCTAATAAAACAGTATCACAAGGATGTTTTACACAATTTGAATTTTGTACGTTTGAGGAAGATAGTGATAGCAGCGTTACTGAGTGTGTGAAAATCGTAAATGATTTATCCTCAAAGCTTTGTTTAAATAGGCAAAGAATGTAGGAGCTTTTGGAATGTTGATCAATGACAATTAAGGTGCTTTCCAAAAATAAAGATCCTTGTTCCCTTCCAGCCGTTACTCTTGAAACATAAATATTTGATTTGTAACGCTTCAGAACATGCTTGCTTCAGAAGATGAAAGTAACCGTTGTTGCTTGCTTCAAAACTTTGTAGATCAGAAACACGGAGTCCTGTTTGCAGCATTAGAACTTCTTTCAGAGATGTTTATAATCAGAGTTGAAACAACATTTTAGCTCATCTTCTGATTTTATTCCATCAGAACTTCTCTACAAAACATAATATAATTTTAGGGAGCATAATTGTTCTTTGTGTTTGTTATCATCAAAACTCTTACAAGGGTTGTAGAATAAAACTATGTTCTAACAATCTCCCCCTTTTTGATGATGACAAAAACTAGGATATTTCAATAGAAACAGAAAGAACATAAAGCATTTGAAGGTCTCCCCTTGAGTTGAATACTCATATAGAGAAAAAATACTTCCCTGAAATTTATTCTGATCAGAGTTTTTGATGCATCTACTTCTGTCTTCACCAGGGTTTTGTTCCTATTTTGCTTTCAGAAGAAAAAAAACGAGAAGTTATGGTATTCAAAATGTTTGAGACTGTGCCTCGATACTGTTATTAGAAATATCGTAGGTTCTCCCCCTTTTTGTCAATAATCAAAAATAAATATAAACACGTTAAGCAATAAAAGTAGAGTTGTATTAAAAAGGATTTCAGTAACACATTTAGAAGAAAACAACACAGAAAAATTGGACACAGTAAAGAAAACAATTTTCAAAACTAAGATTGAGGTGGAGGAATTCGTGTGAACATGGCTTCCAACAAATTCTTAATCTTAGTGTTTGACTCTTCTTGTTTTCCTAGCATCCCTTTGATTTCCTTGCTTGTCTAGTCCCTCCTTGATCACTGCATTTTCTTTCTTCAACTCCTCTAGATTTTGCAGAACCAGAGATGACAAAGGTATATCAGCAGAAGGTGTCACCTTTTCAGAGCGGGATGCAGAAGATTCTGACTCATTAGCTTCTTCAATTTCCTGGCCTTTGTCTTGAAATATAACCAGATGTAGAGTATCAGAGAAAGGTTCATCAACTTCTGAAGCTTGGTGATCTTCCCAAATGGCATTGTCCAGCAGAAGAAGATGTTTCTTTTCCCAGTGGCGTAGAACTTGATCCTTGAAAAGATTCAACTGATCACAGAAGTTCTGTTGAGCCATTTCATAACTCAACTCCTTGAGTTTCTAGGATTCAGAATTGAACCATTTTCTGAATTGGTTCTAGTGTGAATGAGAAAATTATTTCTGTTTCAAAAATTAGCAAATTTTTACCAACATCTGCCTTTGTG